TTGCTAAAACCAAAATACTTTAAAGTACAACTTTATAATATTTTTGAAATACTACAAACTAACGGAAGTATAAAAATCAATTTAAACCTATTATATTGTTAATAAAAATATTAGATATTAATATAATTTCTTGAAACACGGCCCATAGATATAAAAATTTAATTTAGGTTTGAAATCAATTCAAATCAAGCTACAATGTTGAAAAACAAGTTTAAAAAACTGACAAAAAGAATTAGAAAAAATAAATTCTAGGTTTTTTGTTTTTTACCCAGACCAGAAAAACCCCGCCCGGACCAGAATCTAATAGATCCGGTTTTAAGTCCTATCCTTGTTTTGACATTGCTTACGCAAATTCAAAGGAGATGCGTAAAAGAATAATGATCAAAATAAAAAAATATCCGAGCTAGGGGCTCTGCCCCTTGGATTCGCTACGAAATTTATAATACCGTTGAACGAGTACGCATTCTGCACCACGCACCTCGTTACCTTAAAATTAATACATAAATCTATATTGAAAATTTTGTTTAATACACCGGAATTTCCAAGTCAAGGAGTACATCCTTAGGAAGATACTATATTAAAGTCATGGTATGATTGGATACTTATAAACTTGTGACTCCATATATTAAAGATAAAAGGAGAAAAAGAAATTTCTATGAAGACTAAAACAATATAAAAATATCTAAATAAGATTTTTAAGTATGTTAGAATTATGTGATGTAAAGATACTAGCAGTGTAATGAAAAAATAATGATAATGTAATTTGTGTTGGAATTTTTGGCATTTTTAATAGGCATTAAATGGACCAACTTGGGTATATTTGTCAATAGGTCCACTAACGGTTTTAACCGTTAATTAATGGACGTGTGTTCTCTTAAGTGAGATAAATGTTTTGACAATTTATACGCCAAAAATGGTAGAGGGTGAATGAGAAATTGATTCTCAGAGTTAACCCGTTAATAAAAAAATATGGTAAGGATTGCAATTTTTGCAATTTTACTGAACCAATCTTCTTTTATTAATTTTACGTATTGTTTAAAATTAGTTCATTTTTACGGAGTTAGCTGGCTATTAATCTCCAATTATTCGGGACAAATTTTAAACGGAGCGTGTTAATGGCTAATTAATCACCATTAACACACCATTAGTATGTCACAAATGCCATGATTAATTCTATGGATTTATGGTGTAGGAGTTACATTTTTTAATTGGCTTGGTTATAAAATCAAAGGCTCTCTCCATTCTCTTGAGTGGTGGTTGTTTCATACGTGAGGAAGGAAAAAGAAAGGAAAAGTACTTCCTTGTTTTTTTAGAGAGAGCTCTTGATTTTCCGGCCAACTTTCCGGCAATTCCCTTCAAAGTTTTTTGGTTGCCAACGTTCCTACGTTGTTCTTGTTCGTTGGTGTGTGGTTGGTCCGTACAATCTCCACACACGATAGCGGTTTTATCCTTAGAGGAGAATGCCCACGTTTTTCCGGTACGGTAGGCGGGCACTACTACCTTAAGGACAGCTCCGGCGACTTCGCTGTCCTTCCACAGTGTTTTGTTTTTGCAGGTACTGCTCATAAAGACCTCGCTGCATTCTGCCCTAGGACATAATGTCCTTGCTGTCCAGTGCATAATGTCCTTGCAGCCTAGTGAATGATGTCCTTGCTGTCTAGTGCATAATAAACTCGATGTCTAGTGCATAATGTCCTCGTTGTCCAGTGTTTAATGTCCTCATACAACGAGTCGTTTTGAGAAGATATAGAAATTTATTTTCTATTCTTTTTATTTTGTAATATTTTGAATAAGTTATAAATTCAGAATTTTATTTTTTATTACCGGGGTCGTTCATCTTCCCCGTCCGTTGTAATCCGTACAAAAATTGTAACAATTTGATTGTGTGATTAGTCAAATAGCGGTGTGGCACCGGTCAATGTCAGTGATCGGCGGCGACACTCAGATGACTAGCAGTGATGGATAACAATGTGGCAGTGAGAGTGAGAAAGTTGCAGTATGACAGTGTGACAGTCTAACAATGAATGACCTCTTATTTTTATTTTAAAAGACTTAGAACTTCTATTTTAGTATTTTCATACTTTTTTATTTAATTCTACAAGAGCAAAACATCGTCCACATATATTGCTAACTCAAACCCAAATAGCTATGGTTACACTCTCTTATTTTATCAACAAAATACTTCCTCCATCTCGTCTACTTTTTCATTTTAAAAGTAGACGAGAGAAGGGGTAAAAATTTCCAAAGTTTATAAGCTTCCTCCATCTCCCGCAATTAAAAGGTCACACACCTTCCTAAAATACTCCTTCCTTATCTTCCTTTCCCCTCCTTTCTCGTTTTCCTTTTTCTTTCTCTCGGCAATGTTTTCTCCACCACACCATGTACTCTTTCTATCTCTCTTCCCCTCCCCCTTCCTTTTCTTCTCCACGTTAACTTCCTCCCCCTTTTCCTTCATCCGTCTTCTTCTTCTTCTTTCTTTTCTTTTCTCGGTTAGATCTAGCCTTCATCTCTCCCCTCTCTCTCTTCCCCCCTTCTTTTTTTTATATTTGTCATTTTCTTCTTCTACCAGAGTTTGGACCTCGTTTATGTTTTTTTCAGATCTAGAAAATTTGGAGATCTATTTGTGCGGTAAGAGATTCACCTTGGGTCTGGTTTGCTCAGTAGAGAAAGAGAGAGATCCGTCGATTTGGTGCGGCGAAGAGTTCCGTCGCTTGGGGTTTGTTTGGTGCGGCCATCGATCAGTAGCTGCGGCAGCCCTCGATCAGTTGTTGTGAAGGATTTGGCTCTTTAGGGGTGTGGCGTAGCGGGTAAATGAAGCCTAGGGTATTTTGGACAAATTGTAGACTAAGTCAACTTTCCATAAAAATGACCAAAAGTCAAAATGAGAATTTTAATTCTGGACAAAGGGGGTAATTTATATTAATAAATTAAGATTTAAAAAAATAGAGATAAGGTAAATAACACCAAAAAGACGCGTAATAAAATAAAATATTGAAATGGTATGTAACACCAAAAACTAATTGATATATACTACCTCCGTCTCAATTTATAACGCCTGTTTCGGTTTACGATGTTTGACTGAAACTATTTTTAAACCATTTTATATGACAAATGGTATAGAATTAAAAAATAAAAATTACATATTAAAAAACTACATCAAAAGATCTACAAAACTAGTAGTGACAATAATATTTTATTTTATTAAATTGCTAACGAAAATAGAGAAAGAAAGTGAATAAAGTTTGACCCTGTGAATAGTAAATAGACATTATAATTTGGGACGGAGCGAGTATTAAATTTATGATACGGTGTTATAAAAATGTTAATTAACACGGTAACGTGTTTCATTTTAACTTTATACATATTTTTTAAAAAAATTCTAAATAAAATTATTATCTTATACACAGTTTTGATAGGAATGAATAATAGTAAGTACTTAAAAAATAAAATAATTCCTTATTTAATAAAACCTAGGTAAATAAGGAAACAAGTTGTACTCCCTCCGTCCCGTCCCAAAAAGATCGTTACGTTTCATTTCTTTACGCATCCCTTAAAATATTTTTATATCGTCTCAAATGCCAAAAAAACTTTCAAAACAATTTCATCTTATAATAAAGAGTAAATATGGTAAATTTTAGAAGTTTTAGATGTGAGTAGCATTGCTTTTTGTGATGCGCAAAGAAATGAAACGTAACGATCTTTTTGGGACGGAGGGAGTAATTAGTAGTAATAATATATTAACAAGGTCCCCCCTTGATCCTCTAAAAGAAGTTAAAATCGTATTGGACATTCTTCGCCTTCCCTGACAATCCTATTTCCCTATCCCCTTCGGTCCTCTCAAATTCTCAATGGATTGAACTCAGCCAATCCCCCTCTCTTGGCCGAATCGACGATCTTCCCTGCCAATCGTCACTCGGTCTCATTTGTACTCAAGTCAAGCAACGCATCTCCTACTCTCTCAATCTATTCCCTCGTCTCATAGGATCGGAGTAGCTAAAATCTGCATATCGATCGAATCTTTAAGATAAGGAATTGAAACGAGATTTGGTTTGGTTTGATTGATTATGCCTATAACTCAATTCAATTCAATGGCTGAGTCACAATCTCCATCCTCCATCATGCCTACGACGGTAATAGCTACTTTAATTACTCCAGAGATGAACGGAATATTAACTGCAGATTGTGTGTTTAAACCTTATTATAACTCTTTATTATTATTATTGTTATTATTATTGACAGGTTTCAACTAACAATGAACGTAATAAGTCTTATCCCAAATGCATCCGGAACCCACTGGACAAAGGCGGTAATTAACTATATGCTTTCTCTCTTGTTTGTTGTTGTTGTTTCATTACTCCTGTCAGTACTCAACGTTATTAATTAGGTTAATGTCGGATGATGCAGAGGACTTAGATCACCTTTGGGCGTTATTGATCTTGGGGGTCTCTTTCGCGGAAATTCCCATGTTCTATTCGGCCTTTGGGGGAGATTTTGAAAACATTTATTTGCCGGTCTCCCTCCAAAACTACGGAATTTTTATCACTTGTAGGTTTTTCTTTGCCATTTACTTGCTGGCTCGCCCTGAAAAGAAATATAGGTTGCCCTGTTGGAAATTGAATTGCATTGCTGAGATCTGTTTAGTGGTACTTGCTATGGGTCTTGGTTTTGTTTTTCCGTATCAGATGGAATGCCTCGGTATACTCACTTCCTGGACAGTGCAATTATATGGGTATTTTCATTTGTGGTCCGGTTTTTTTCCCAAGGGATTTGGGAATGTTATGCCATAGTACCAATGCATCTACTGACCTACGCGTTAGCCTCCAATATCATCAAGACTAATCATCCTTTCCTCTTCTCTGCGATGGCACTTGGCGGCTGGGCATTTCTTCTAGTTTTTTCCAGTTTCTTCTAATTTCTTCCAACTATATTTATTTTCTTCAAATTCTTCGTACTTTCTGACAAATCACTCTAAAAAAATATATTATTATTATTATTACAACTTTTTTCAAATGAATTTATTACTCTCTCCGTGCATGTGACAAAAACAATGGGGCGTGCGGAAGGAGTAAAAATACGGCCTCATGATGTATAAATGTGTTTATATACGTGCAAAGAATCATACACATACTCCGTATATATATAGTATGTCAACTCAAAAAAGGAGAGGGGGATAAAACATAACTGTCTTGACACATAGGGAAAACATGCCGCTCCGTTGCATACTTAAGATTTGAACATTCTGCCTTAGCAACATGATTCCCTTCTCGGATCAAATTCACATTTTCCAATAAAATCCCTTCACATGGAACCATCTCACTACACCTGAATCTTATGGCCAATTCTCTTGCGCTTGTTCCCCTAATGTTTCTATATACCACATTGCTTACTTGCACTGCCTCCTTCTGTGTATCGGCCATCAACAATATAATGAGAAACATCGGAGTATTATAGAATTATGTTTCCGGTACTTCAACTTTGACATCACTTTTGACACCATTCTTCTTGCAGACATAGAACAATGCCAAATGTCTGTGAGTATATATGTAAGACGTATTGTCAAAAATGGTGTCAAAGTTAGGGTACACTTGGTATATTTCTATAGTATATTACGTGAAATAAGCTAGAGTTTAAACTAACAACTAAGACTTGGTGCTAGATTCTTTTGACAACCACCTTGGGTGCATGTTATATTGTGATAGCAGGAACTTGAGAACACTATGATACTCCGTTGGGCCCCGAAGCGGGTCCTACCAACCTAACCCCCAGCCCCTGAAATCGTTGATTTGCCACAGAGACATTGTAGCAACTTAGCAAATCAGCGATTGCAGAGGGGGGTTGGGTTCCTAGAATTGGCAGGCCAATTTCCTATAATGATACTATAACAACTTGGTAGTTTCAAGAGGAGGTTTAGGACCAACTTTGGAGTCCAACAGAGTTTTGCAAACTCCGGAATCATCATATGACACCCAAAACCGATATTTAAGGAACGATAGTGTCAAGACTTAATAATATTGATCGGGACTTTCTTACTATACGTACCTTCTCGGGACACGAAAGAATGTTGCCATTCTTGTCTCTTGGCTTATCACAATAGTATTGGTCTATGATTATGGGATTCGTCACATTTTGCATTACAACATTCTCGAACCTAATGTTCCTTGCTGATCCCTTCCCTCCCTTTTTACAAAACAAACCATAAACAGTTGTTAGTACCTTTTTGTCTATATATTGAGAATATTGAATGGGTTCCTATAGTTAACTCTTACTTGCCAAGTCTTTATTCTTACTCCATTTGTGGTTCCTTTAAGCATGACTGTATTCACACCAACATTTGATACATGTTCTTCAAAATCTTCATGTTTCCCCAAGCTTCCTATGCTATAAAAGAGTAAGGTTCATTATATTGTCTTCATCAATAACATGATTGATTTTTTTTAAAAAAAACCAGAATAATCATATCTAAGAGTTTTTACCTAATGCCATGTCCTGGACCGCATACTATGCGTGACACTCTTACATTCATAGATCCATTCACTATTGAAATACAATCGTCACCTGCATGCACATAGAGTATGGAGATTAAAAGGGGAAATTATTTTCCAAATATGACAACTAACCAAAGATTACTTATATTGGCTTGGTTCTCATGCCCGGGGTTCAAAAAGTTGATGGTTTCTACTCCTCTTAACCTCTACCCTGCCTAACCTGAACCTACCCCTACCCCTTTCAATTGCACCCCTCCCCCCAAATTTAGTTTACTTTGGATTCAAAATTTGACTGCAATGTCAATAAATTTGGGAGTGTAATTGAAGGAGGTTGGGGGTGGGTTTGGGTCGGGCGAGGGCACGGGTAACTAGGAGTGAGGGGTAGGAACTATCAATTTTTCAAATGAGGCTCTATAGGAGGTCCAAATAGAGTCTGGGTCATAGTAGGACGTTGGGGTGCAATGTCACTTGAACCCCTCCCTATAGCATAACTCTGCCAATACTTTTTTTTAGTGATAAACATGTGGCTTACAATATTTTCTTCTTCTAAACAAACTTTAATTATACATTTTTCAATTTTTGAATATATTAAAAACAATGAGAGTCAAACACTGGAATATTGTTTGAGACAGAGAAAGTATTTTACCTGTCCCAATAACAGAATTGGAGATAACGATATCGGTAGTACGAGATACGTGAATTCCATCGGTGTTGGGACTGTCTTCCGGAGTGATTATCACAATATTCGATGCCCTAACCACTTCACTGTTTGAAAAAACAAGGTGCATTCTTTGGGAATTTTTGAATAATAAGTTCTTTACACTTACGTTTTTCCCATTTTGGAATGTCACTGCCTGAATGAATCAAAAGCAAGGAATCAAACAATTGAGGCATAAAATGTGTGCCTTTAGTATGTTCTTTTTACTGCAGTAAAAATTATTTGGTCGGTCCAACCCGGAAATTGTAACTCAATACTCACAAATGGCGTGACGCCGCTGTCGCAAGCCTGCACAACAAATTCAAGTTGTTAAACAAAGAAAACCCTCTAATTGAGATGGTTAATGAGATAGTTTGTCATATATAAAATCCACTTTGTGCTAACTTGCCATTTTTTAACATGTAAGTAAAACTTTGTGGTAGTAGTCATGTTTTACCACATTTATATTATCCTCTATGTCACACTCTTTTTGTTCCATTTTACCTTTTTGTGTCCCAATGTTTTTGTCTAATTCCATATTTTGTCACATTTGTGTGATTCTGAATCATTTTTATTTTATCTTACTTTTTAACATTAATATTGTTAAAAATTCCGATGGGCCGAGAACAACGGGTAGAGTGTCGGGTAAAATTAGTTACTTGTATATAAAGTCGGGATCCACAATTCTAATTCAAAAGTTTAAGCTGATAGGTAGAGTTTCATCCTTCTATATATGTTAGTGGTATTATTCTTTTATTTTCCGATGTGAAAACTCCAACAAATACCAGCCGCACAAATTTATTTTTCTCAATTTTTGTCGCAAAAATAGTGGGATGGAGGGAGTAATTGAAAAACGGAATGGTTAATTAAAATGCCAACCTCTTGTGTTTTGACCTTGCAAGACTCCTTCCACCATATATGGCCATTGCCATCTATGACTCCACCTCCTCTCACCATGAAATTGCTTATGTTATTGAATTTGATCCAATGTTGCCTCTCATTCTTATAGTCTTCTTTGTTCCCTGAAGCTTTGATAGTTCCATGGAGCTACTTGTACATACGGAGTATATAATTTACAATATAGTTCAAACATGTCATATATCTTTATTAGACTTAGGGGCTCTTTGGCAACTTCTGAATAGGTAAGTGCTGAATCAGTAAGAGGTCTGAACCATTAAGAGCTAGTATATTGCTTAACTATTCAGAGGCAAATGTCTGATCAATTCAGATAAGAGGTCTTAACCATTCAGATTCTTTATAATACTTAACCATTCAAAGGCAAATCTCTTAACCATTCAGACATCTGAACCATTAAGAGGCTAAAACAAACAGTCTGAACTATTAAGTGCTGAACCATTCAGACATTTGAACCATTAAGAGGCTGAAACAAACAACCTCTTACTCTATATAGAAACACATGACATTTAGTGGGTGTTTTTTCTGTGTTTATAAGGTGACTTATATAAGTTGCTCATAAGCCAAAAAAATAAGTAGGTTTTACGTACTTATTTTTTAAGCCTTTTTTTGTTTCTTTGTTTTGACCTGATTATTTACAAAACTATCACTCATTGTTTATGAATACTCACAAATGACTAATTTATCGTTTTAATCATTTTACTTTCATGAAAGAATATTTGACCTACAAGCAGCTTATAAGTTAAAAACTGTTTATCAGCAATATGTAAATAAGCACCAGAACACAGGAACATCCAATTAGTTAGCTCTCATTTGTTTTTAAGAGTCCCCTTCTTTTGACAAGGAGTTTTGTCATAACTCACACTCCAATTGGGATAGTTATGTACAGTATTCCATTTATAAAATTGATAGTTTCTATCTCGCCTAACCCCCAGTAGACCCTTCCACCGCGGCCCGACTCAACTCGAACCCATCCGCTCAACCCCTTTAATTTCATTTCCCAAATTTAATGACTTTGGGGTCAAAACGATTTTGCCAACCATCAATTTTACGAACGGAATAATGCATGTGCCCAATTGGAGTTGTCATATTATGACAATATAATTTGTTGTCAAAAAGAGGGAAGTGTATTTTTAATCAATTTAGCTTTCATCTGGTCATTAAAAAGTTGTAACTTCTTATATAATTAAACAAACAATTAATTGTGCAGAAACATAATTACTCACATTCAGTTTAAGGTTTGGATGGCATGGGCCATTAAAGTGTGTTGGACTAAGCAAATACGTTCTCATACGAGGGATCATTAGGATGCCCCCTCTTGATTTGCAAAATTTGTTCCATGCTCTTTTAAATGCCTGAAATATAATTCGGAGTTATATTTTTGTAAGTAATATCAATTCTATTACAACGTACAGAGTTATACGGAGTATTTTTTTTTATACAAATTGAATTGAAGCACAAAGACTCAATACCCTGATTAGAGGACTAAAAAATACAGGCAGCTTTATGAAAAATGTGACAAAATTTGGCAATGAAGAGGCCTAAAAATCCAATTACCTTAAAAATATGCATCATTATCATTTCTAACTATTACGACCATTCTTACTAGAAACCCGCCTTGGGCGTGGAACGTACATATCAAATGACGGTATGATTTAAGATTAGAACTAGATATATAAGAGGCTGCCTAGGTGACTTTTCACTCGTAGATTTTGATAAAATTTAAAGGTGTAGTCGTGTAGGATACAGACGAACATACGTACCTTAGAATCATCTGTGTTCCCATCACCTTTCGCGCCAAAATGATCCACATTGAACACTTTTTGAGGCTTTCTATACGATATCGGGTTGGGATTGTGGCCACTATGGTGTTGCCTGTGGCGGTGGTGGTGTCGACGACAATGGTGGTGATGATTGTGGCTCAAAATCTCAGTACTTGGATGATTGTTGTTATTGCTTGACACAAACAGTAAACAAAGGGCTAAGATTATGATGGCTAATAGGTCTTTTATCATAAGCATTTTAAGTAGAACATGTACTATTCAACATACATATAGCTAATTAAACAAATTGTGTTTGTGAAAGGTTTTGTCTATGGTGCTTTGCTTGAAGAAATTTATAGTGAAAAAATGATAGAAGTTAATTGCTTGAAGTTAGAAAAGAAGAAAGGACCAAATTCTAGAGTGAAGATGAAAAAACAAAGTGCCTTCCTGTTTGAATAACATTTATATGCTCTATATGAGATGTGTCTCAAATTTCATTTTTATTCACTCTCAATAAATGTAATGAAACGGTGATTTTTTAAGGGAGGTTTGGGATATAAGATCATTGGAGAAATAGATTAAAAAAAAAAAGCAAACCCGGTAAATGGACATAATAATAATAATAATAATAATAATAATAATAATAACAACAACAACAACAACAACAACAATAATAATTATAATAATAGGATGGGAAAAAAATATAATTAATAAGAACTCTGTAATTTTTTTGGTCTCTCTCAACTAAATTAAGGAAAAAAATATTACCATCCTAAAAGAGTTTGTGACATGCGTTTCATTTGTTAGTTTACCTGCAAAGATGCATGTAATATTGCATGACCAAACAATAATGCTTCAAACAAAGATAGAAAGCAATGACTGTACTTCTCAATATGATGAGCTAGTATTGGATACTTGGAATGTGGTATATCTCTATATGAAAACAGAAATGTACTTAAATAGCACTAAAACATAATGACTTTCTCTAAATAGCACCACATGTGTTTTTCTTCCCAATGTAGTACTTTTAGTCATTATGCATTAGTCATTATTCAAGTAAATATTCACCATCATCGGACATTATAGACATTATTAAGTGCTATTTAGAGAGTAAAACAATTTAAGTGCTATTTAGGGAAATGACTTATGTTTTAGTGCTATTTAGTGCAAATATTTCATATGAAAAAGTAATGGGAAAATTCAACTTTAGTCCTTATATAATTGACATAATTTGTTTTAGTCCATGTAAAAAATATTTTGCTTTAAGTCACTCTTACAAAATTTATTATTTCAAAATTGGTCCTTAAATTCAATTAAGACTTTAATTTGTTTAAATAACATATTTATTTTGTACTCAACATCTTACTCTTGCATTTATAATTATCGCAAACATAATTCTCATGCCCTAATAAATCCCATTTTCAACAAATTATATCACAAATTCCCAAACTTTATTATATTACTCTATTCCTAAAGTTTTGGGAATCGGAGATGTAATACGAATAAAAACGCAATTTAGAGCATGAAATTGTATTAGAAGTAATTAGAGATGTGAGACTACGATGTTGAGTATGCAATAAATGTGTTATTTCAAAATATAAAAAATTTGTATGGATGACTTAAACAAAAAAATATCGCGACCAACCACACAAGTCGTTGATTTTACAGGAAATAAAAACATATTTAACCCCTAAAATGCGTTATAACTTGACCACATCCCCTCTGATTTAAACCTGAAAAAAATTGAAATGTGGTCAAACTAAAAAAACTAAAATTCATTTAGATAAATTATGAATATTTTGGGCAAAAAATTAAAGAAATTAGAAGTTACTCCAAGAACTATATTCTATAATAAAAATTACGACCATGCTACACTTACACCAAAAAATATACCACATTTGTACACCACAGGTTTGCACAAATATTTCGATGCTTTATACCGACACAAGTGTTGGTGCGTTAATAAAAATTCACACGGACACAAATGTTGATGCGTTTAACAAAAATTAGTTTTACACCAACACAAAGTGTTGGTGCAAAGCTGTGGGGTACAAATTGGGGTACAAACCTTGGGGTACACATAGCATAATCCTAAAAATTATGTATGTCGGATAGGTCTCGAAGATCGCACAACTGGCGTAATTTGTGACATAAAATGTCCACCAAAATACTTTGCATTTACTATTAAAGGGTTCTCGAAAACTTTTGTTTGCGTGTGTTTTTTATTAGTCATTTGATAAAATAAAATATTCTTGTCACCACTAATCTTGTAAAACTTTTGATGTATTCTTTAAATATATAAGTTTTACATTTTATTTTTACACCTATTTGTAAATAAAATTATTTTTAAAAAGATGAGATTTTGCATGTAAAAATGAAATAAGAAGAGTTTTGGTGAACGGAGATATTGGAAAAGGAAAAACAATAACGAAAAAAAGAGAGAGGGCATTGGTGATTGATAACAGAGCTATTCACCTAATATTTGAAGGAATGACGTAGTAATATCAGAATAATGCGTGACAATGGTGTATATTTATCAAACAAAGAGTTATTAGTAGGGGTGGGCGCGGTCCATGATATTATGAGGATTGGGGTGGTTGGGGGAAATGAACTCAATCGAAGAATTAAAGTATTGGAGTATTGAATAAAAAAAATAAGTTTTCATCAAAAACAAACATAAGTCATTTTCTCCGCTTAGTATCATAAATTCTTACGGAGTACTACTTATGTAACCTAACATGGAAAAAGTAGGGTTGGAATTTTCTAAAAAAAAATATTTTTCTTTAAACCAAACAGATCCTAAGAATTAGAATCCAAAACAATATAATCTTAAACAGGACCGTCTCCAAGAAATTATTGGCCCTGGACAACACCGAGAAAATCGGTTATCGTGTCATAATGAAGCAAAATCTATAAATTATATTTTTAATAATAAAAAAATTACTCTATACAATAGTAATAAGAATAATAAAAAGTCAAGTGCGTAGTCTTATAAATCTATAATTACATATGTTAATAACTAGCCAAAGATTCCTGAAGGTTTTCTAGCACTTTTGATATCCAATTGGTTGATATAGGACTTTTGATATACTTTTTAAATATGTAAATGTTATAATTAATTCTACACTAATTTTTAAATAAAATGAATTAAAAATAATTACAATCAAACATTATAAACAATAATAGGTGATTTAAATTGAGACGAAAAGTATATAATTAATTAAATACTCCGTAATAAATAAATATATGTAATACATTTACAAAAAAGTGAGGCCCCATCTATTACTGGGCCATGTCCAAGAGGCCATCTTGCCCTTGGCTTGAGCCGGCCTTGATCTTAAAAAGTTGAAGAAAATTTTAACAATTGACACAAATTTCATTTTTTATGCAAAACTTCTTATCTCATGAGAAGACCTAAATAATTTATTTTTGGTTGAGAGTGAAAAGTTTCTTAATTCAATTAGAGAGTCTTTAAAAAAATTCTGTGGCATGCTATTAATTACGGTCCATCAATAGATTTCAAAATAATTTGTTGGTAGAGAAGTTGAACTATGACAAAGAAAAGTTGTCATATGATCTTAGAGGATATACACCGTATAATTTATCTACAATGAATGAAGATCAAGGGAAGATATACGGCAAAATAATGGAAGTCATGGCACATGAAAGACGAGTTTTTTTGTGTACGGTTAGAGAGGAATGGGAAATACAATCCTCTCAAAATCAATGTTTGCCTCTTTAGGATCAAATGGTAAGGTTGTTTTGAATGTTATATCAAGGGGTATTGCAGATTTGCAGCATTGTTTTTGCCTGATGGAAGGTAATCACACTCAAAATTTGTAATCACTTTGGTGCTAACTGAGTGCTCTATGTGTGTCATTAAACAAAGAAGTCTGAAAGTAAAACTAATCGAACAAACATATCTAATCTTTAGGGATGAAGCATGTATGATGAATAGATTTGCTTTTGAGGCATTGGATCATATCACAATGAAAGATGTAACGGGGTTCTTTAGTAATAGCTTCATAAATGTACCATTTAGATGGAAAACAATGGTACTTAGAGATTATTTTTGTCAAATTCTTCCTGTTTTACCTAGAGCTTCGAGAGAAGAAATTATAGGTACTACCGTAAATTCTTTAAAATATTGATCGTATTGTAATTGATGTCTATAATATAAAAAATCATGTTCAAAATATATTCTCTTTAATCAAGAAAAATATTACTACCTCCTTCATAAAGTATTTGTCCAATTTTGATTTTTTCAGTCAACCGTTTTTAACCTTTGACCTATAATTAAATAAAATATATATTGTATACTAATTAGATAAAATAATATTTTGAAAATATCTTATACAATAAATCTAAGAGCAAAGTGCACTGTTTACCCCCATACTCTTTAGAAATTGCATGCTTTACCCCTGAACTTTAAAAAGTGCACCGTTTACCCTCGAACTCTTCGAAAATTACACGATTTACCTCTGCACACTAAAGAATGCACCAAATACCCTTGAACAAATTAAATCGTTGCATCGTTGGTCCTAAACTATTAGATTGGGAGTGTGTTGCTTCCACGCACAAGAATTGCGAATATGATTTATCTGGCCCTTGTGAATTCACCAAAGTACCTTTCCCCAAAATTGTCGTCTTTATTTACATGTTCAGGAGTAAACAGTACAATTTTCGAAGAGTTCATGAGTATTTGGTGCAATTTTTATTGTTCAGGGGTAAACCGTGCGCTTTCTGAATAATTCAGGGGTATTTGGTGCACTTTTTAATGTTCGGGGTAAACCGTGCAATTTTCAAAGAATTCGGGGATAAACGGTGCACTTTTCTCATAAATCTAATAAAACTGCTTTTGTATCAATATCTAATATCATTTTTATTTAATTTGAGGTCAAAGATTAACAATTTTGACCGAAACAGTCAAGAGTCAACAAATACTCCGAGACGAAGGAAGTACATTGAAAAGTAATTTTTTAATTAACAAAAAATTTGTTCAAACCCATGCGTGGCAAGGGTCAAAATACTAGTATATATGTAAAAGAGAGTTAGATAGTTGTGGTGATGACATGTGGCATGCCATACGTGCATACTACTAACATGTGTCATGCCACATTAAACCACAAGACACATGTCACTACACACATGCATATTTAATTTTGTATTGAATTATTATTTTTATTATATTTTATAAACCCTTCACTTTCCAACAATAAAAAACCCTTATGTTTGTTCTTTTTTTTTGTAAAATTTTCACTTTCTAACTATTTTAGAAATATTTTTTTGTTGTTTTAAGATATTTTTTAAATATGCACGAGTATTTTATAATATTAAAAAATTTATATAAAATTTATTATCACAAAAATAAATTTATATAAAATTTATTATCACAATAATATTAAAAAATTTATATAAAAATTTATATAAAATTTAAAATTATCTATCATCTCAAAAGAAATTATTATATACAAATTTTATCACACATGCATCTTTATTAAGTTCATAACATATTTTAATCTTTTGTCTTATTACATTATTTATTTAATTACATATTTTTTAGCAAACTAAACACACACTAAAAGTTTAATTAAAAAATTACATGTGGCACATAACAGATGTGTCATTACTTAATTGATTTATTTGACATTTTTATTTTAATTTTTATTAATTAAAATGATTTTCATTATTTTTTATTTGATGACCATTAAATTTGTATAAAACTTTAAAATAGTTAGAAATTATTTATCAAACACATTATATATCATTATTAAAAATTTAAAATAAATGATATTTTATTTTTAGATTTCAAAATTTAGAGTATATTTGAGCCCGTGTGAAGCACGGGGTTGATACTAGTATATGGTAAGTGTGCATTTTATTGTAATATATAAATTTAATAAATTTATATGTGTATAATGAAAATGAATAAATAATAAAGTCAAAAAAATAGTCCTTGTTCTTTAATATTAAAAATATATATAAATGTTACGAAGTAATATTTTGTGGACCATCTATAATGGTAATATATAAATGGTAACTTATATTATAATATTCCGTATGGATATTATGCGTAAAAGAAAAAAAGGACATCTGACTTTGAGATTATAAAATAAATGTTGTTATTTTTTTCAACTTTAGCATTGCATGTTCCAAGGTGGTATTAATAAATTTTTTATGCTCAAAGAGAAATAGATTTACGAAATATTAAATTTAAAGTTCAACACAATTTCTAACATTAATATATAAACCAAAAATTTTCAAATTTAAATAAAAAATAAAAAATTGTCAATCAAATGAAAATGTGAAGTGCGATGATGATGATGTTAATAATAACAACAACAACAACATTATTATTAATATCGATATCAATATTAATACTTTATTTAAAAGTAGGAGAGCTATTGCCAGATTTTCCCAATGACTATGCATCAATGTATGGAAAAATTGTATTTCATATAAAAATTTATATTCATTATGTATGGATATTTACGTTATATGTGTTGTTTTCGTTACACATAGAAATATTCATTTTATTATATATATATGAATATTTTCGTTACAGAGTATATATTTTGTGTGCATTATATATGAAAATATTGAATTTGTTATATTGAAAACATTTTGTATGGATTTAATATAGATATTTTCATTATAATTTATGGAAATAATAATATTATTGTTATGGAACGAAAAATACAATGAAAATAATAATCATATTATGAAAATAATAATATAATAGAGAAAATATTTTCAGATATACATGCTCATATATTAGAGACAACAATTTTATATATATAGAGGCAATATTTATATGTGTGTGTGTGTTAGGGTTCATTATTATTTATGAAAATAATAGTATTGGGACGAAAATTATATTTTACTTAAAAAATGATATATATGTGTGTGCGTGCGCGCGCATGTGTCTGGAACAAAAATATTGTGGAAATAATAGTATTATGAAAATGATAGTACTCCCTCCGTTCCACATTTCTATGTACTCCCTCCGTTCCACAAAACCCTTCCGTTTTTGACTTTGGCGGAAAATAAGGAAAGTGTAATTTTGGTTGATTTTCCAATTTTGCCCCTGATGTGATGGGAAAAAGCAAGATGTGATAGTTTGGTTATCAGTGCATGAAAAAGTATGATGTGATAGGTAGGGTATGAAAAAGTAGGGGTAAAAGTGGTTTTTTAATAAAAATTGGAAGTGTTTTGTGGAAAATAAAAAAAACGAAGGAGGAAGGGTTTTGTGGAACGTAGAAAGTATATATGTGTTCATATATATACTAGAGACAAGATTTTTGCACACACAAACACATATACGTGTATTATCATTGGTTATTTGATAAAATAAAATATTCTTGACACCTCTTATTTCGAAGAACTTTTCATGTAGTTTTTTGATATGTAATTTTTATTTTTTATCTCTTTACCAATATGTAAATAAAATGAATTGAAAAAACTTGATATTTTGCCTCGGTAATAGAAATGTGACAAATAATTTGGGACAGAGGAAGTATAAATTAAAACTAGAGGTGACCTTATTTGATAAAATGGGAATATGGGATACCTTACCTCGGAGTAGTTGTAGCATTGCATTGCCGTTTAGCATTTCCTAGGCAGCAAAGATATCATTGCCGTTGGGAATCCGAACGGTTTGTGATCGAGGCCGTGCGTTTATAAATAAATACTCAAACAAATTCTCAACAGTCGCAGTTTAACATTTTTTGCAATGGGAGGGCCCCAGAAGATGGGCGGCGATGATGAAGCCGTGGCAACGCTCGTTGTGGCCGCCTTGTTTTCATGGACTGTCTATAAGCTTTTCCGACGTTGGGGACGACGGCGCAAACCGGCGCCGCCGGCAGATGTCGGCGCACACATCGTGTCTTCTACGTCGGCGGCGGGGGTGACGACTGTGAACATAACCCTCCCTCCTGCAGCTTCCGTCATTAATCTCCGTCACGACATCAAATAAGTAGCATTTGCATTTAACTGGAGGAAGCTTTATTAATTATTATTATTAATCTTGTGCTGCGCTCGATCGATCTCGCGTACTTTTGTTTTGTTTTTTTTTTAATTTTCTTTGTTGAACTCTAATCATAATTTAAATGATGTGCTTTGGTTGCCAAATCTTATTATTATCAACTTATTCCGTGTGCATAACTCAACGTTGGTTGCCAAGTCTTAAAAGATAAATATATGAAAATCCTAAATTAGTAGTTTTCTCTGTGTTTTAAGCAAATTAATAAAATTTGCATTTGCAAATACTAATTCCAACTCAAAAAAATTATCATTACATTGTGTGGAATAAAACTCAAACATTTCACAAAATGTAACTGCTGAAATTATTTTAGATTATCATGTAAAATTAACTTGAAAAAAATGTACTCCGTTCGTCTCATTTTATAGTAGGGTTTTTATTTTACAATTTTGAATTCAAAAAATTAAAAGTTCAAGTTGTTTAAAACTTAATTGGGTGGAGTTTAAAACAAAATTTATATATTTATAAATTATATCAGACATTCTACAAACCACAACATAATCATATTGTTTTATCAAATGAATAATAAAAATATATGTAAACAAATGAATAAAATTTGATCATATAAATAATGAACATGTATTATAATTTAAGACGGATGGAGTAAAATTTAGCTAGTAGGAATAGTATGTAAAACAATTTAAATGCACTTTATGTTAGATGAGTATATCGCATGTCCTTCAAAACAAAGATTAGTATCGCTTGAATACATAATTCATTGACAAATTCTTTCCTAGACCTAAAGTTCATATTTATTTTATGGATTTTGATGCATTTATAGGATAAAAGTAGATATTTTTCAAACGTTGTTCATTTTGTTGGCGTATTCTCGTTGCCCATTTGATAAAACAATATAGTCATGTCACGTACCCCTTCGTCGGGAAATGTTCTTTCCATTTGACATTTTACGATCTCTAAGATTACACTTTGATCACTAATATCTTTATTTATACATGGATATATTTTATAAAAAATTGATATTTGAAAACTACGGAGTATATTCAAAATGAATATATTCATATTAAAGCTATATCGTAATATAATGTATTTTTTCCACATATCATAGTCAAAGTTTACAAACTTTGACCATATATTTCCGGACAGAGAGTAAATCTTTTTGTGTAGTTTTTAAATATGTAATTTTTATTTTTTAATTTCATATAATTTTTCATATAAAATGATTTAAAAATAACTTCAAACAAACATTGCAACGCACAATGGGAACATTATTATTGGACAGAGAGAGTATAAAATATTCACATACAAGTTTATGAAAAATATAAGGCGCACATTTTAATGTAGACTTTGAGACCGTGTAAGCAATCATTCCATATGAACCCCATGAATAGTAGAGTAACTATAAAGAATGGAATAGGGAGGGAGAGAATATTTTCGGAGATAAATAACTATAATGACCATCTAATTTCCAAAAAAACATTACAACCAACAATTATCTTAAGAGCTTATTTTGAGCTCTAAGCACAACTAATAACTTGCTAAAAGCTTTTCTGAAGAGCCTACTCTTAAGTTAAAGGCAGGAAGAGCAGCTTGTTCCCCCGGAAGCGGCTGATTGACCGTTGAGGTACTTCCTTCTGAGCCATGCTACACTTACACCAAAAAATGTACCCCACTTGTACACCACAGTTTTGCACAAACATTTTGATGGTTTACACCGACACAAGGGTTGATGCGTTAATAAAAATTTACACGGACACAAATGTTGTTGCGTTAACAAAAATTAGTTTTACACCAACACAAAATGTTGGTGCAAACCTGCGGGGTACAAATTGGGGTATAAATGTTAGGGTTCTTCACTTCTTCTTCGTAAAGGAGGAATACGATTCAATGACTTCCCAAGTGAGTGCCGGCGTTAGCGACTGCAGGACTGCTTGGAAGTGTCGATTGCACACAACTGTCGCTGAAAGGTCTTCTCTTAAAGCGACGATTCCGGCTTCTCTGCACAATCCTTCCAATTCTGCCCCTGTGAAGAGGTCCGTGCTTTCAGCTACTCGTCTGAGATCGACGCCAGCATCTAGTTTCATGCCCCGTGTATGCACACGGAGGATCTCATACCGAGCTTCCAAATCTGGCGGTGGCACATAAAGAACCTAAACAGAATACAGATTCCATTTAGTTCTCTTTTTTCTACAAGGGTCAGTGTCGTATTATGACACCAGTGTATTTGGGGCCCTACGGTGCTCCGTTCGGCCCCAAAGTAGTTCCTACCCTCATCCTCCATTTTGGTGACAATCCACTCTCAATAAATTGGCAATGGATTGTCACCTAAATGGAGGGGGAGTGTGGGAAGTAGTTGCCTCAAATGGAATGGTGTCAAAATATGCCATTGGAGTTGTGTGTCAAAAGAACCCTAAGAAAGCTCGTCCCATAAGGGTGCAAACGGAGAGCAGTAAAGATATCACAAAACAAGGGGACAAAAAAATAAAGTTTTCTGAAATATCAAAGTATAATTTGGCATCAATGGCCAGTCAGGAGAACTGAATCTATGGGCTCAAGAGTGGAAATAAACCATGAAAAGAACTGTACCAGATCAAAACGTCCAGGTCGCATAAGTGCAGCATCAATTGCCTGAGGGCGATTTGTTGCAGCCAAAACAAGAATCCCCTAACGGAAAGAAAGAGAAGATATGTAATTGTGCCTTAGTTTTATACTGAGTATTATTTAGGTAATCCAAGGAAAATAAAGGGTTATATGATCACACCTTAATTTGCTCCAGGCCATCCATCTCAGTCAGAAGAGTAGACAGAAGTCTCTCCCCAACAACACTACTTCCATTAGAACTTCCCCCACTGCAAGATTACAGCGGAATATCAGAAAGAGAGAATGGTTGTGATTTTATGGTGTAGTTCCTTTTTAGCTGACAACATTTCAAGAAAATATATGAATAAAGAAGGGCATAAAGAGGATCTAATTAACAGAAAACACTCGACTCCACAAGACTGGTGTTAGAACTATTCCTAAATTAGTTAAATTAACTAAGACAAAAGGGGGCGTTAATGAAATAAACAACAATTAGGTGCCCTAAATTAGTTAAATTAACTAAGACAGAAGGGGGCATTAATGAAATAAACAACAATTAGGTGCCCTAAATTAGTTTAATTAACTAAGACAGAAGGGGGCGTTAATGAAATAAACAATAAATAGGTGAATGTATACATTTGCAAAGTGTGATTCTGGGTCATTAATTGAAGTGAAGAGCTAACAGCTATGCCATTTTTTGTGTGGAACACCTGGGAATTACAGCACATAAACTCACATTTACATAATGGAAGATTTTTATGATGAACTTACCGTTTGGCAGCGACAACATCTGCTTCATCAAAGAAAATAATGCTTGGTGCCGCAAGTCGAGCTCTTCGAAATGTATTGCGTAACAAAGCCTCACCTTCACCGACATACATCGAATACAACTCTGCCCCACTGGTGCATTATAATGGAATTAATTTTTTATTCGGGTGGGGAGGTTGGGGGTGGGG